CCAATACAAGTCACAAACTAGGTATGTCCCTGCCTAGGTCAGTTGTGAGGCCGAGTCCAATAGAAGTATCAGAATGGCTCTAACCATGTTAGAATCAAGAGGAGCCAATAACTAGTAGCATCTGGGTTATACCAGGCATGCAGGATATGCGAGATCTAGAGGCTCAGTCACTTCCCTGTCTGAGGAGACATGAACATAACTCTCCCATGAGCATGTCCCAAAAGCAAAACTTTCAGAGCTTTCTGGTGGGTGTCTCTGAGTGAATCCTGCGAGCCATTGTCATTCTTTTTTTTTTTTTTTTCTCATTGACTGAACAGATATTTTACGAGCCCATACAAAGCTGAACAGCTTCAGTGGGACAGACTGAGCACGACTCACTCAAAAATAGCCTACAGTCTGGTGGCTTTCAGTACTCTCCTGGGAGATACGGGTTCAAGTTCCTTCAGAGAGATGAGAGACTTCCACCTTGGTCTTTTATACCCCAAGGAAGCTATCTAAACTATTAAGGCTTTCGATGAACTAAGGCAGCGCCATTTCTTCTTGTGCGTGAGAAATGACCAAACTTTAAAGCACTTGACCTTGGGAGAATATTAGACTCCTTAACATGAGTGAAAGGAAGTATGATTTTCCAATAACTGTTAGAACTCTAACTATCCCTATCTGTACTACTCTCTACCAGCTAGCTTAGGCTACCAGCTTTGATGAATCTCATTTTAGGTGATATGCCCAGCTTTACAAGAACTTGGTGCCTGTCTCAGGGCTGAGGAGTCCACTGGAGGGCAAAGAGTTGACCAACAAGGTGTTACAATTCAGAATCTACCTCCCCTTTGTGGATTTAGCTCTAGCTCTCCAGAAAGCCATGGAAAGATCACCATCCACCAGGAGCTCCCAAGTCACACACCTGCCTCAGTTAAGCGCCTGATTAAGTTTCACAGAACTCAGTGGAAGAACTTTCACTAACCTCACTAGAAAGTGGTTTAATCCGCTAGTGCCCCTAATTTCACCATGGTGGTTAAGCATTCCAGGGTGATAGGGCTACGATGCAGTGTAGCACTTACATGCCAAATGGAGCATAATTTATCTCAGTTCTCATAAAACTCTACTGAAAAAAGAAATGGAAGTGATTAAATAATTCAAGGGTGTCATAACCATCAGCTGAGTGAATATCCGCAAAACACAACATGCTTACAGAACATGATACTAACTCAGAAGTCTGGTCTCTAAGATGAAAATATAAACATATAACAAGAAGAGCTATTTCTTCTCATAGTGAATATCTTTCAACAGCAATAACAATCAGAGTACAGCATTCCACATCCAAGTAATGGAAGAATTCTAATTTCAAATCAACATCATCTTTTTAATCTCTGGTTGTCAGATGTGTGTAGGTTAAAGATGAGATAGTAGTGAAGCAACAAAATAACTTAGGTGCCTAATTCTCAAAACTATAAAGCTTAACTCTGAAGCAACCCTTTAGCTCTACAAAAATCCCTGGATCATATCAGCTATACAGTGATACAGACTGTTAAATGTGCCTGCTCCATGGATGATCCATCATCTCTAAGCTAAGGAGTACACTACCCTCTATGGACTGTATGCATCAAAGGACTGTATAACCATGCAGCTTTGGGTTTTATGAGAGCCCTGCACCATGACAGGTCTTTTCAGCCCTGACATGAAAAGCACTATTTCAGGTGTGGGGAATTACGGGGAATCTAAATTTAAAGCATCTGCAATAACTTATGGGCCATGTTGCAACCCACTAGGATGTTATTTATATGACAAAATTGGAGGTATGCGTTGCTGCATACCTCGACAACAGCTTGAGAGTATACAGATGTGCTTACAGGTGCAAAGTCAGCTAGGAAAGTTTTGGGGAGCTGTGTAGAGCAGGAGGAGCCAGACCGCATGTAGCTTTACTCCTACTTCCTCGGAAGGATATGGATGGAGGAGTTTCCTGGAGTGAACCAGGCCCAAAACCACACCTGGGTTTTGTTTGAGAGGAGAGTGATTCACTCCAAAAGATAATCTAACTAATTCTTATGCAATCTGGATGACCAAGTGACCGAGACACAAGTGGGATACACAGATCACCCCCAGGCCCTAAGGGAATCACTGAGGGAAATACCTTATTTAACAATGTGGACATCCCCATTGACTTCACTAGGCACAGCTACAACTGTGTTGTCCACAGCCCTTCGTTCCCTCTGCGGCATGTGCACAGAGCTGAATATCTCAAAATGGAATTACAAAAGCCAGCATGCCGAATGAGGAGTAACTTCCGATAGCAAGGACAGAGGTGTGTCTTCAACTCTGCCCTACTCCAGTTTGGGCAGCACTGTGAAACGGTTCCTCCCTCCACTGCAGGTCCTCAGATCAGATTATCTCTGGCAGATAAGTACCAAAGTTCTTTTTTTCAAAAGCGGTGCAAGAGGTCAATGCTCTCTTTAAAAGTATGGTCACCAGGAGAGACTGCATTTCATTTTCACCCTCCACCCTCCATCCCTTGTGAAAGGCCTGCAGAGTTTAGCCGCTTCAAGGCTCAGAGGCTAAGCATGCAGAAATTTTAAGCATCTTAATTTTGGGCTCCAGCCCAAATAATATAGAAGCAATAAAAGCCTTTTGTGGATTTCCTCCCCAATACCTTATCTGCAGGTGCAGTATGCTGTTATGTGTGTGTTTTACGACACAAAAATATTTGCCTACGGTTTCTGATCCTAGAAAGCAGGAGATTGATCAGAGAATATGGGTTCTGAGGAGCAGTCATTGAAAGAAAACTCAAAGAGATCAAAGAGATCAAAGCAACTGACAAGGTGCAGAAAATTAAGCACTAGTGTGAGCTGAAGCAGACAGGAAGAAATGAGAGAACAAGATAGAAGAGCTGCAAGTAAGTGTGGACGTGCGCACGTGCATGAGCAACTCTTCTAGGGAACACTGAGCTTGTACTTCTGCACAAGCACAACTTTCCACACATTGTAGTAAATTCAAAAAGAAACTTGGCCTTTAACATAAGGCTGCTAAACCATTTTAGCCAAGAAATAAAATTGCTCAAAAGACAGTAAGGTACAGTCCAAGATACAGCTTTCGGTACAAATAGGAGAACACTTAAAAGTCACTTTTATGTTCAGGTCAGCTCCCCCTTTCAGCAGACTCTCAGCTCTACACTTGCCCATCCTTAATTACTGAAGCAATTTCACAAAGCTCTGATTATGAAGCAGGGCCCTCTTTTGTCCAACACCAGCTACATCAGCAAATAGTGCATCACAAGAGAAGAGGAACTGCAGAGTGAAATAGGCAGTGGTGACAATGTAATATTTACATTACACACATTTTGGAGGTTTACTAGACTAGCTCTAGTCTGATGCTGTGGCTGGAGTACATCTAGTTTAGTTTAATGTGAAAGAAATCCAGTTTGCATTGTTTGAAAATGATCTGGGATGCAAAATGAAAGTGTGTGTGTGTGGAGGGGGGTCTGGAAATTCACTTCAAAAGCACACTCCTGATGAGAACTAAAATACTCATGTAGACAGAGCCAGTAGCTGAATTCAAAACAAACAAGTCTCAATCCAGCCGCCTGTCACCTCCTCTGGGGCTGAGCGCGTTTCCCTGCCCCACCATCCCGCGTAGAGCACAGCGCTCATCTCCCTGGAGCAGCAGCTCTTCTCCCCACCCCCAAAGGGCAGGTCTATATTTGAAATCACAGAGGCGTATAATCTGAGGGAAATGGTATTCTTCGAGTTCGTAGGCAGTGCCCAGCACCCTGGTAACACTCCGTTTGTTCCTTCACTTGCTGCTGCTTAGCGAATCCTCAAAACAGCGGTGAGCGCTTCGCTTTACAAATTACAAGGCTATAGACAAAGGGAATAAATGAGACAATTTAAAGGCATTACTCCTAGCTCCTATAAATTCTCTGTGCAAAGTCTATTTTAACAGCATGGATTTACCAGGGCATGTGGAAATAGTGAGAATAATAAACCTACCTAGTAGACTTAACTAGGCATTAATGAAAAAGCAGACTTTAGTGTTTTGCATTCCCCGAAACCCAGGAAGAAAAATATTCCCATCAGTTCTGATAATTCCTTTCTAGGGGGAAAGAATCATAACCTTCTATATTGAAAAAGAGAGCGATCGCTTGGAGTCGGGAAGAAAAGAAATTAATAAAACTAATTATATGCTTCGCTCACGATGGAATCTAAGACGCTAAGTCAGCCCAGGAGAGTCGGGCTCTTTGATTTTGTGGGCTTTTACAACTTCCCCGTTATTGCTTGCGGCCCCGAGGAGGCAACTCCCGGCGCCCCGGCGGGGGGCAGGGGGGCTCCGCGGAGAGGGGCTGCGGGCGGGCGCTTTCCCAGGGTGCCAGGCTTTGCATCGCCTCCCGGTGCTGTCCCGGGCAAACTCCGGCTCCCAGTTACCGGCAGGGCGGGCGG